TCCGCGACTGCGCAGTGGAAGAAGAACTGCGAGGTAGAAGGAACGGCAACAGGAAACACGTGAGGCGTGTATGAGCTCACGGAGGTGTGAAAGGGTGTTGTGTACGCGCTCAGGTACAATGAAACAGTGCTTGTGATGTTATCAAAGTATATGGGGGAAGGGAGGCGTACCGCGTGGTCTACTCCAGACAAAGGACTTTGTCGGAGTTTTCCTGATCCCAATACTGATAACGTTCCAAGTTAACACGGAAATACTGACGGTGTACAAGAGTATAACACCGAGTCAGGAGGTTAGAAAAGAAGTGCATGCAACAGCCTAGCTATAAAAGCAGCACAGATTTCAGACAACAAAATTCAATATGCGTACTTAAACTGTCCCTAAGTTTAAATAGCACTTAACAATACTACAGATTAACTAACGTGCCCAAATGCCAGCCTTACTGTAGTGAACGTCTGCTCGTATTTAGAGGGTAGTGGAAAGTCCGTGCTTCTTGGGTCCTTGCCAGAGCTGGGGACGTCCGTCTGGTTCCACTGTGTCCAGAGAGTCCTCTTGGTTCCGAAAGTCCGTTTCAGGAGGAAAAGTCTCTGACTGTCGATGTGCCGGTTCACACGAATACCGTTAGAAGGAATCCTGTCGCTTCTAACTTTTCAATAACTGCTTTGGTCGCAGCGCTACGTTACTTGTGTAACTTAATTACCGGTTAACTCAGTTAAGAAAAAGACGCTACTAGTGCATTTATCACCGTGGGCAATGGTGTCTACAAAAGCGCGTTGGTTCTTAGTCTTCTGAGACGAGCAGGTTTTCTCTTTTCATCGAGGTCCTACGGAGCGAAAGTCCTGAACAGAGAGAACGATATTGGGCTGACCCCCCAATTTAAAGGTTGCGGAGGTTACTGATCGTGACGTATGTGGATTTACCGGAAGCAGTGGAATTATGGGAGTTTGAGTCCTTGAAAGGACTGTTGTAGTACCTACATATCCCCCCTTTGGTCTTAGGGATATGACAGAGTCGTAACCCTGAGAGCACAAGGTTGTACAGTCCATATTCCATAATCCATTGTCATCCATATTGTCCATTTAGTCCTGTAAAATCTCAGAAGAAGTTGAGTCCTGACAAACAGTTCAAGGCATGGGCATTTGGGCAAATACCAGGCTGTAGGCATTTGGGCAAATACCATGCTATACACATGTGGGTACATGATAACTCACTACCTGACTAACACGTTCATGTACCACAATAGCGCGTTGATTCTTAGTCTTCTGAGACGAGCAGGTTTCTCTTATCATCAGGGTCCTACGGAGCGAAAGTCCTGAACAGAGAGAGTGAAACTGGGGCTGGCCCCCAAATTTAGAGGTTGCGGAGGTTACTGATCGTGACGTATGTGGATTTACCGGAAGCAGTGGAATTATGGGAGTTCGAGTCCTTGAAAGGGCTGTTGTAGTACCTACAATACACAGCTGTGGAAAGAATTTGATTGGAAAGAAAAATAAAGATACTTTAATACACTATATATATCATAATAATAGTATTGGTCTCACCACTGTCCTGTAAACCTTTCCCTTCACCTTAGCTGACACTCTTCTGCCACCGATCACTCCTGACACTTTTCTCCAGCTGTTCCATCCTGCCTGTACTCTATTCTTCACCTCTCTTCCACAGTCTCCGCTGCTCTGAACAGTTGATCCTAAGTACCTAAACTCCTGCACCTTCACCACCTCTGCTCCTTGTAGCCTCACTATTTCACTGTTCTGCCTTTCGTTTACACACATGTACTCTGTCTTGCTGCGACTGACCTTCATTCCTCTTCTTTCTAGTGCAAACCTCCACCTCTCTAGGTTCTCTTCTAGCTGCTGCCTACTCTCACTACAGATCACAATGTCATCTGCAAACATCATAGTCCATGGGGACTCCTGTCTGACCTCATCTGTCAATCTGTCCATCACCACAGCAAACAAGAAGGGGCTCAGGGCCGATCCTTGATGTAGTCCCACCTCCACTTTGAAGTCTTCTGTCCTCCCAACAGCGCACCTCACTACTGTTGTACTATTCTCATACATGTCCTGCACCAAACTAACATACTTCTCTGCCACTCCTGACTTCCTCATACAAAACCACAATTCCTCCCTTGGCACTTTGTCATATGCCTTTTCTAAATCTACAAGTACACAATGTAGCTCCTTCTGGCCTTCTCTATACTTCTCCATCAGCATCCTCAAGGCAAATTTTGCATCTGTGGTATTCGTCCTAAGCATACAACTCTGTACATCACCCTTCTTATGAAATAGCACCAGAACACTTCTCCACTCATCAGGCATCTTGTCCGTTGTTAGACAACCTAGTCAGGAAATCTACTGCCACTTCTCCTAAGCACTTCCATACTTGTGTCTTGACATACCACTGGTATGTCATTGAGACCAACTGACTTTCCACTCTTCATCCTCTTCAGGGCTTTTCTTACTTCATCCTTTCTAATCTGATCTACCTTCTTCCTAATAGTTTCTGGTTCCTCGTTTCTACTTTCTCTTTCATTTTCTTCATTCAATAACTCCTCAAAGTACTCCTTCCATCTTCTCAGCACACTTTCCTCACTTGTGATTACATTCCCATCTCTGTCCTTAATCAATCTTAACTGCTGCACATCCTTCCCAGCTTGATTTCTCTGTCTCGCCAATCTATACAACTCCTTTTCTCCTTCCTTTGTGTCCAAACTCTCATACAACTCCTCATATGCCTTTTGTTTGGCCTTGGCCACTTCCCTCTTCACCTCCCTTGTCCTCTCTTTGTACTCCAGTCTGTTCTCTTCTGTTCTGTCACTGTCCCATCTTTTTTTCATTAATCTCTTTCTCTGCACACTCTCCTGGACCTCATCATTCCACCACCAGGTCTCTTTTTCTTCCTTTCTCTGCCCAGAGGACATACCTAGCACCTTCCTACCTGTCTCCCTAACCACTGTAGCTGTAGTCTCCCAATCATCTGGGAATTTCTCAACACAGTTCAGAACTGCCCTTACTTCCTTCCTGAAGTCTTCACAACATTTCTCTTTCCTTAATTTCCACCACTTGATCTTCTGCTCCGTCTTCCCTCTCTTCCTTTTTTTCACCTCCATCGTCATTTTGCACACTACCATGCAATGTTTGGCTACACTCTCACCTGCCACCACCTTACAGTCATTAATCTCCCTCAGATTACCTCTTCTACATAGAATATAATCTATCTGTGTGGCCCTGCCTCCACTCTTGTACGTCATCCTGTGTTCTTCTTTCTTTTGGAAATTGGTGTTTACCACAGCCATTTCCATTCTCTTTGCAAAATCTACCACTGCCTGTCCTTCCAAATTTCTATCCCTAACGCCAAACCTGCCCATCACTTCCTCTTCTCCTCTGTTCCCATTCCCAACATGACCATTAAAGTCTGCTCCAATCACCGCTCTCTCTCCGCTGGGGATACGCTTAATCATCCAATCCAGCTCGTTCCAGTACTTCTCCTTTTCTTCCAGCTCACAGCCCACCTGTGGGGCATAACCACTAACAACATTCATCATCACTCCTATTTCTACCTTCACACACATCAACCTGTCTGACTCTCGTTTCACCTCTACCACATTTCTTACATATTCTTCCTTTAGGATCACCCCTACTCCATTTCTCTTCCCATCCGAACCATGATAAAACAGTTTGTAGCCTCCTCCAATGTTTCTAGCCTTGCTGCCCTTCCACCTGGTCTCCTGGAAACAAAATGTCTATTCTTCTTCTCTCTATCATATCAGCTAGTTCTCTACTTTTCCCTGTCATTGTACCTACATTCAGAGTTCCAAACTTCAGACCAACACTTCTATCCTTCCTCTTTTCTCTTTTTGTCCGAATCAATTGTCCTCCTCATCTTCTTTGTCTTTGACCAACAGTAGTCCAATTTCCACCAGTACCCTGTAGGTCAACAGCACTATTGGCGGTCGTTGTTAACCCGCGCCTCGACTGATCCAGTATGGAAATCGTTTTACTGATTCCCATATTTGATTTGGCTAAAAATTTTACACCGGATGCCCTTCCTGACACAACCCTCGCCATTTATCCGGGCTTGGGACCGGCACTGTAGTATCACTATAATAGCACTGGCTTGTATACCCTAGTGGCTGGTTTATATATAATAGTAGTATAATAATAATATATAATATAATATATAATATTTTTATATAATAATAATATACTGTCTATTTCCTCACATGTTAAGGAACCATTACTGGAAATATGCTAGAGAAAAGTTGGAGACCATTCACATATTTTTTCGGTTTGTTCGGTGATTGAGAATCTTTGACGATGTGTTAAAGAGAAAATTTACACTATACTGAAAATTTACTTGAAAAATATAAAACCACCAACCATAATTTTGACTTTGACTTTTGATAATGTATGCCTTTTTTAAATCTAAATAAAAAGTGATTTGAAAAGTCTTTGTCATGATTTGATTTCAACAACCCAGGTTGTCAGCTGTATTAAATGGTATTTTAGCATTTTTTTTTATTTTATTTTTTAAGATTGATCATATATTTCATATTTCTAACGTCACCTAACCATCACCATTATGTAAATAGCATGGGTCCATATAGTCCCATGAAAGTGTTCTATGCATGTTTGCGTAAAACAGCTCAAAACAAACCCTGACTCTGCCTTTCTGTTTAGCCTCAATGCATGGTCATCTATGTAATTCCAGCAGCCATTACACAGCACTCATAAAGTAATGGTGTATAATGGGTATAACGATGTAAAATATTAAGAACCACAAAATGCAGTTCTTAATATTTTATACCAGTATACCTATTTATATATACAATCATCAGGGAATAAATCAGAAGAGTCCTTCAGATATCGTTTAATATTAATATATTTAAAATATGTTTTGAAAGTTTGTTTTGTTTTGTTAAAAAAAATATATATATATAAAATATAAATATATTACCTGCGAAACAAATGCGCGATGTGCGCATGCTCATAACGAGAGGCGGACGTTATCAGTTGCCAACAGCAGGACAAGAGAGGTACTGCTGGTCTGCTGCTGCTTGTTGCACAGCAGTTCACTGTCTGACAGATATGGACCGTATTTGTTAGCCTATGTAGTTCTGTATTTTGTGTCTGTGGGACCAAGCAGCAGAGAAGTAGACTTCGTGCATAAGATCGCTTTTTTTTTTCCAAACGTGCAGGAAATGGTAAGTTATTGTTTTCTACTCGGGTGTAGACGGACACAAGAGCTGTTAAGCTAACGCTAACGCTAGTAAGGTGTAGGGTTTTTTTTTTAGGAAGTGTCCACCTGCGCTGCCTTTACCTGTCGGCTGTCAGCTTAGCCTAAAGCTAACAGGCCTTTTTTAAAAGAACGAACGGATAGAAAAAGCCACACTGTAAACGGATTGTTTAAATGACATGTTATTCTTAATATGGACAATGGAAATCCATAACTGCTCTGCATCATAGTGTGTTTTCGTGTGTGTATTTCTTTGAGTGTCGTCCCTGGTTTTAGATAGTGTAAGCAGTGAACGAGAGAGAATTGTTATTTAGCTGTCACGTTCTGAATTTGTCTACATTGCAGAAATAAATATTTAGTCATAAAGCAAATAATTGTTTAGTTTAGAAATTTAAGAAAAACTCAGAATCTCTTTTGATATGTTTTTAGCATGCTGTACCGGCTTTTGTACAGTGAATCAAAAATAGATTAGACCTCCCAAATTTTAAAGGCACACTGTAAATAATTTTGCAACCTCTTATAGTGTGATTATACGTTGTTATCGAATATGCTTAACCTCACAATATTGTCCAACATGTAGGACAGCATATGGTAGCTTTCATTGTTGAACACAGCTATTTGTCCTCTGGGCTAATTTAAAAACCGTGTGTCTAACGGGGTGGCATCTGCATATACTTTTAATGTAAAGGGAAAGTTGCTCGTTCTGAGTATTGGCTAAAAATCTTTCCTTAATTAATAAAGATCTATCCATCTAAAATATAGACTAACAACTTTGCCAATGGCCTATGCCGATTCCTTCCTTCTCTCCTTAAGTAAAAGACATAACTATTACTATTTTAAATGTCTTTCAGCTCTTCATCATGCTATCCTCAAATGTACACATTAAACATTTATAACAACATTTATAAAAACAAAACAACATTTAATGTACATTTTTTGTTGACATCTAAGATTTCTATTTTGAATAGAAAATGTTGCAACTGGAGTGTTATTGCGGTTATATATATATATATATATATATATATTTATATATACACATATACATATATACAGCTGCAGTAATTTCTCCACTGTCTCCTGTTTGTTTCTTCTTCTACCGGGCATCTAACATGCCCATCACACATGGTTATAAATAAAAAAAATAAGCAAATTATCAAATCAATCAATCATTTTGAATCTTGATTTCAATATCAGTTAAAATAATTATGTTATTATGATTTATTCCATAACCAAACAGCCATAATTGACAGAATATACAAAATATAAAGTGATCTTTAGTGCAAAATTATTATTTATTATGAAACATTTCCCACAAACTTCGCTCAGTCACAGGTTTTTTTTTTTTAGTTCAATAACTTCTCAAAATAAAGGCCTTGGTGACTGAAATAAGGTACTAAATGTAAATGGTTTCCTGTTCCGCCAACTCTCTGATATATTGAAGCTTGTGCAGTAGGTTGTCTGCATAACATAAATATTCACAGTGACTTAAAAAATAAGAACAGTGTATGGCTTTTTTCCTTGTCATGAAATAAAATGTTCAATAAATAAAAAAAAAAATAAGATGAAGTCCAAGTGCAAACCTAAATGGCAGGTTTTTTTTTTTTTTTTGCCAAACAAAAGCATCTTTGTAGTGTAGAGAGATGCTTCACCCTAGCAGGCTATTTTTCTTCTTATCTACTATATGCAAATATCTTTTTGTTTTCCAGAATAAATGTTTTATCTGTTAAGGCAGGGGTTTCAAAGCTTAAGAGCTTCAAGGATGGCCAAATCCAGGAAAAAGAAAGGCAATTGTTGTGTTCTTGTACAAATCTATAATCAAAAAATAATAATTGTAGAACAGGAAAGTTCACAACAGAAAGTTGTGAACATTTATATTATCATTGCAAAACATCCGTTGCATTCCTTTCCAGTTGATAGATTGAGCAGTACCCAGTACAGCATTCCTCGTAGTAGAATCCAAAAATAGTTACACCGAGGGCAAGTGGACGGAGGAGGTTTTTTATTTTTTTATTTTTTTCATCCAGTTGCCCTCGATGTAACTATTGTTGGATAAGATGACGTGGATGATACACACACTCGTTGAAGAATATTCATTGTTGAAAAGTCAAATGAAATAATAAATTATAACACAAGGGGTCCTCGACTTATGTCATAGTTTCATGCCTACGTGCGACAACAACAACTTAAATTACAGGGTAAGTTAGAACTCACATACTGTACATATTTACCTATTTCCCTCACAGCTCTCTTCCGCATATTGCGCCACCACACGCTGTAGGTTGAAGACATCGTAAACTGAGGACCCCCTCTAATGACAAAACACTTGGCCTTACGGTTTTTTACCTTAACTATTGCGATACATTTGATAAGTAATTCTTTTTCTTGGCAGAATTGCAAAGAAATGAAACATTCAAAAGCAACTAATTGCTCTCTTTACTCGTAACACATACTATACTTTTTCTAAAGCATACATGTTGACCGTATGTTGTTTGGTGTTCCCCTGTCTTCATATGTAGATGCGTTTCATGCTGCTTTTCAGCCGGCAGGGCAAGCTGAGGCTGCAGAAGTGGTACACAGCTACGGCTGAGCGTGACAAGAAGAAGATGGTGAGAGAACTGATGCAGATAGTTCTCGCTCGTAAACCAAAGATGTGCAGCTTTCTGGAATGGAGGGACCTAAAGATTGTCTATAAAAGGTAAAAATGATGAAAGTTTGCACTTGTGGTCCCACACTTGTGGTTCCTTTCAATAGTTTTGCTTGCTGTTTTCCTATGTCAGAAAGCATCATTATGCAAAGTATTTTATGTGGATGAGAACCTAAATCTCCACAGTAATGAAATATGGTGAGTGCAGTATCCTCCAATATCCAAAGAACAATGATTAGGTCTACACTGGATATGTGAGACATGATTGCTGCATTCCTGGAAGTTGTGTAATATTTTACCAAATTTAGGGTTATGAATAAAACGGTGACAAAGCAGTTGGTAGACTTGCCTTTTTCCATCAAGATCCCATATTTTTGTGGTATTTACTCACTAATCAAATGACCTTTTTCTTCTTATGTAAGCACTAATTTCAATATAAAAACAGGACTTGTAAAAAACATTATTTCCTGCCTTCATTTTTTATTAAATCAGTGACAGCAAAATGATAAGATATAGTTCAATTAATTATATATAAACAATGCCTAGTCATAAAAAAAATTCAATGTGCAATAGTTAGAATGTCTGTGGTAAGGTTACAACTGGATAGCAGATGTCATACTTTTAAACCATATTGTTTTAACTATACACAGTAAACACTTTTATTTAAAGTAGTCGGTAGGTTCGGGCAATGAAGATGGTTTATTCTCTGTAGCAGTATGCACCAAATATTCAGCCACCAGAAATGTTTGGCCGAAAATGGCTCAAAAGTGCATGTTCGATTTTCTGTGTGAAATACTTTTGTCACTGAAACAATGTTGCCAAAAAACACGATGTTGATGTGATGACGCAAGCGCAACTGCATCCAGTACGATGAGATATATACGTATTTCAGATCCTCTGCATTTCATCGCAGCTGTACTTGATTATTATACAGATCATTACTTGGACGTGGGAATATGGCAGTGTGCACAGGGAATGATCCTGTCCATTTGTTTGAGATTGTAAAGATAGTTCTACAGAAAAAAAAAAAATTAAATCCACTGGACTTAGATGCACTTTGTCATTTATGACAGTCATGATTGCCCCATAACAAGTTGTACAGGAATTGGAATTTTCATTTGAGCGTCTGCCATGCTTGCCAAGTAGTTCCTGTGCATTTTTTTTTTTTACGCTGTATGTTAAAATTATGGCCAAAACCTAACAATCTCTTTATATATTTATGGGAGATTGAGATGTAACACCAAAACACCACTGGTTGAGGGACATTGCACACCGAGGATCTCCTTTACTTTGTTTTTATTCGTAAAATACTGTACTTTGATTTTTGCATTGAGTATTTTAGGAATGCTGTTAATTTGTTGTGATGTGCTCCTTTACCCTAAATGTCTTGATTTTGTATGTTTCCATGCAGGTATGCCAGTCTTTACTTCTGTTGTGCAATTGAAGAACAGGACAATGAACTAATTACATTGGAAGTCATTCATCGTTTTGTAGAGCTGCTCGATAAATATTTCGGCAGTGTAAGTATTTTGTCTCCTGCTTGCTTTGTATTTTCAGTCAATTATTTTAGTGTCACATTTGTCACCCCAAACCAAGGATCACAGCTTAATTATAAATGTTAAATCCCTGTCATCAAAAGTGTATTTTGTCTAACAGATTCTTTCTTATAAGAAGATACTTGACTGTCATTACTCGAATATAGTAATGAAAACATTTGTCCTTGCATTCCCCAAATATTAGACTAGTACTTTGTTGTTAATTATTATATATACAGTATTATATAAATTATTTATTGGCAGTACTAGTGCAGTACCGTCCACATCAGAGTGTTTCTTATTATTACGTGTCCTAATTGCTGTGCAGAGACACACTTGTAAACTAGCATACTTTTGAGATCAGTTGTAGGAGAAATGTTGTACAAACAAATTGCAAAACAGTTCTGTGTTTGTGGCTTAGTGCATCTTTTCTCCTCCATACTCAAGTAGGTAATTGGAAGCCATTTGTGATTATTTGCCTTGTCATTTTTTTTGTTGTTTTTCAGGTCAATTTTATCTTCTACGATACAGACAGACCCATATTTCAGTGAATGAAATTGTTGATGGCGTTCCTTTGCTGTAGAAAACACTGTTTGTTGTGTTTGTTTAGGTCTGTGAGCTGGACATCATCTTTAACTTTGAGAAGGCCTACTTCATTTTAGACGAGTTTCTTATGGGTGGAGAGATCCAGGACACATCAAAAAAGAGTGTCCTCAAAGCCATTGAACAATCAGATCTACTGCAAGAGGTAATTTGTATTGATGTGGCAAATATTTTACAACAGAACAATCTACTGCACACCACCCTATGTAATGATAATGATTGTCTTCTAGATTCAATTTACTCAGTGATAAACCTCGGCCTGTTTAGTTGAACACAATGCTGATGTACTTGCAGGACTGTAAGGAAAGCCACACAAAGATCTTTGCTCTTTGAGGCACAGTAAAATTGTATAATTTCCGATGGCAAGCCTGAATATCTCTCATGCCTCGCCAAGGCACTGTGGTTGGGGAATCACTGATCTACAAGATCTCCTGTGGATCATGTGGACACAAAACAAGAATGCTTTCTTAATTCAGTAAATAGTTCTCACTCACTGCCCCTAGAAGAAAGGCGAGCAGGTAAATATATAGTTAAATATTAAAGTTAAATATATAGTTCAATGTCACTGTGGAAATGGGGGCTTTGACTTGGACCACCAAAAATGTACTAATTATGACGTCTTTTTTAGTGGATTAATGGATCCTACAGCTTTAGTTTAGTTGGTCTTTTTACTCTTCACAAGATGGAGATCAAAAGTTATCAAAATATCAGATAAATAAAGACGTAGAGAAAGTAAAAATAACTATCACCATCAAACACAGCAAACACTGGTGACTATGTTCTGTACAGTGCAAACATCCTTTAGGCGAGGCAGTGACTATCAACCAGTTCTGTCTGTCAGACGTCTAATTTCCATAAAGTAAACATGTGAAGCTCATGTAGTGAAAACACAAAGGGCAACAATAGTATTAACACTTTTTGCCTGTATTTGCTAACTTTTAAAATGTGGTGCTTAAAAATAACACTTTCGGAACAAAACCAAAATTTACTTTACTATTGAACGCACTTGAATATAAGCCAGACCCACTAAATTTAAAAAGAAAAAAAATAATTGTACATATATAGGCCGCAGGTGTCCACGTTGTAACGTGGGGTTTTTTTTTTTTTTCAAACAGTGCCTGCAACACGGCTGGTTATACATTAGCTCTTTTCTGCTTCGGCGCTCTGACCATAGTTGGAATACACAGGGGAGACTTAGTGATCTGTTCCGGGGCCGAAGATAACATAACTTAACTTTTAACTTAACTTTTGGTCTTGTCTGCAGCAGAGGTAAACAGAAACAGGGAAGTTGGGGTTTTTATTATCAGCCACTCAGACCACAACAGTACGTAAACAGTGTTTTAACAGCTCCTATTCAACATGACAGGGCTCATACTGCTCTCAACTTTCGCTACCGTTCTCTCTTGCGCACGTCCCACGCACTTCACATGCTACTAGTATAACACACAGTAGCCTAACAGAAAAGTCATTGATCGCTAGCTTCGTTAGCCCGTAAAAATCCATAAATTAGCCACATCAGTGTTTAAGCCGCAGGGTTCAAAGCGTGTGGAAAAAAAGTAGCGGCTTATAGTCCGGAAATTACGGTATTTGTCTTATAATGTACTTGGTTAACAGCAGCAAAAGATTAGGAGTAAGAGAAAAAAATAAGATGTGGAATTGAAGCTAGAGTTCAGATTAAAAAGTGTGTCCTATTTAAAATTGAGAAGTGCTTTTTTAAAAACATGCATGTTGTGGGTCTATGTTTCTTTGTTTCTTCAATTAAATTCCAGTGGTGGTGGCTGGACTGTTATACAGGGAAATTAAAGTTTAGGCCTAGTTATGTAAAGATAAATATTGCTACACTGAAAGACAACAGGGATAGAATGAACAAACAACGAAGAAGATGAAGCAAGTTCATCCTTCAAATTGAAAATAAGAAAAACCTTAAACCTTATTTTAGCACTTCTTGGAAGTATGTCACAGTTTTTCCTATGGTCCAAACTACCTAATTCAGTTTGAATTGAAAAACATTGCTCCTGTCAAATATTGATATGTGGTTTAAATTTGATTGTGACTAATTTATTACAAACCCCCAATGATTTAGATTATTTGGTCCCACCATTAATATGGAATGTAAACAAATTGGTATATTTGACATTTACTGTAACTTTAATAAACATTTAGCACATATAAACATTACGCTCAGCTTCCCTTGCTTCGAAAACCAGTAATACATTTGTACTATGTTAATAGTACTTATCCAAAGTAAAATGTTGAGGTCATTTTTTATTGCATTTAATTTTTATTTTTTTAAATCCTCTTTTCCTTTCCTTTTTGTTTAAAACCTCTTTGTCTGGGTTTCAGGAGGACGAGTCACCCAGGAGTGTGTTGGAGGAGATGGGCTTGGCGTAATATGCATTCAGCAGTGTTGTGAGACTGCAGGTACCGATTATTGGACAGAACAGGATCTGGAATTGGTCATTGTTGGACTAATGGGTTTGAATGACTTTGTAAAAGATCTGAGGCTTTTGGGATTAATGGAAATAATTCCAGTAAATATTTGAGAAACCCAAACATTGATAGGCCCTGGACTTGTGTGTGTGTGTGTGTGTGTCTTTTGTGTGCATTTCTTTTGTGTCTGTGACAAAGTGTTGGGAAATGGGTTACAGTCTTATTTGTGGCTGTCAGTGTGTGTGTTTTAAATTTCAAAGAAGTCCACTCTGCTGATGGTGAGCAACAAGGGCGAAAATCCAGTTACAATCAGTTACAAAAACCAGTCAAGCACTCACACTCTCTCGCGAGTGTTTCAACGCTGCTTATTGTGGAATTGGAGTAGTACCAAAAAGAATCATCACCTATTTCTACTTTTGTATTTCTTCTTTTTTAAGAAGAAATAACTGAATGAATAGACCAAAATTAGCAACCACAAACCAACCATGATCATTTCTCTAACCTGCTTTGGTGTGTCGGCCATCAGGGGTATTTTTCATAGTAACAGATGTGTATATTTTTAAACAGGCGTTTGTAATTTCTTAAAAACAGATGGATACAGCAGCTTGTAGCTCACCAGACAACACATTGTCGTTTGACACTGAATTTTAGTGGCCGAGTGATTATTATGAATGGCAGTAGAACAGGTCTGTGTCTGGTTTGTGGATGATGTGTATGTCTCATTATGGAGTAAATCTGGTGGTACTTGGATTTAACCTGCATGTGAGATTTTGTGATGGTTCAAAAAGGAATAAACGAAGACATTTAAAGCCCACATTTCTCATGCATCTATTAACATGACTTAATACTTAATCGCAATAGTCAACATGGCACTCCTCTTGGTTATATTTGAGTTAAAGGCTGAGCTTAATTTATTATTGACTTTTTGTGTTTTATGGTATTTTTATGTCTGTCACACGCAGCAACAAAACACAGCTTTTGAAAATTACTTCTTGAAACTGATGTTTGGAAATATATCCACAGGATTGGTTTCTGGAGTGTATCTATATTGGCCTTCTCATGTCAATAGCCAAAAGAATCAAGCAGCACAAAATTAAGAAGCACTCAAGGCTACTTGTGACACACACTTGTCACAATAACCCATTTTATCAGTGATTCCCAACTAGTGGGCCGCAACCCGAAAGTGGATCACTGACTTGTTTTAGTGGGTCATGGGCCCTTGACAGGGCAAAAAATAGTGTTCAGGGAAAAAAAAATCAGTTTGACCCATTAACACTCTTTTACAGTATGTGGCAGTAAGTATCTGTATTGAGCATGGGGAAATGCAGATACGACACAGAACTCAGTGTTTTTTTGTGCAGCGAGATGTTGGTATGTGAGGCTGTCATAACTGAAACTCCATTTGGAAAAAATCACATCAACTTGTCAAAGATAAACCGGTGGGTAGAGTACTTCCAAAAGTTGGTTTCAGAACCTGAGGGCCTGACAAAAGGGTTTTACCTTCATCTCTTTCAAAGCATGCTGTTATTTCTTATCTTGGCTTCAAACACACCTCATCAAGTTTAAAATCTATTTGGTTTTTGGTTGTGGGGTGATGGTGGGTCCTGGAGCTACACCACTGCTCTGAGTGATTTTAATAAAGGAAACAAACAGACTTGTTACTAAAAGTAAAAACTGACTCTGCATAAAAGTTTCAGTGTGTCTTATTAAAAGTGGTCCAGTGGCAAATAATGAGCAGTGCTTCTATGCAAATTAATTTAAATAAACATTTTTCATTGCCTTCAAAACGCCTTTTGAATTTTAGCAAGGTGATCATGGAGTTAAGGCTGCTGGTTTAATTGTTGCTTATACAACAGTGCTCTTGGATGGCATGTCCAGCAAGCCTCACAGGGTGGTGTATTGAATGGTGAACCAAAGCGGGATCGTGTGGCTCTTTGCCCCTTTTTCATGCGGCTCTTGCATTTATGTCGAATTGCGACTCTCATGCCGATGGGCGTTGACACAAATAACTTTAAAGGAAACCCAATTTGCACAGATGAAAAGGTGTACCCAGTAAGTTTTAAAAGAGTGGGAGAGTTTTATTTTTTTTAAAGGGATCGGGCAGTTTGCATGTGCCCATGTACTGTATATCATGTGGCTCTTTGCAGTAACGCAGTTAAAATTGTGGCTCTTAGCCTCTTGACTGGTTGGTTACCACTGCCCTAGAAGGTGGACGTCGAGTCTGACTTATGCCGCTAAAGAATAGGGCAACGGAGTTCATCTTCAGATTTGTGGTGTTTGTTAATGTCTAAGAGAACAAGTCTTTTCTCCGTAGGATTTTCAAGGGCACATGTTGCATATACAGGCCATAGCCATAGCTCCAGCCCTTGAACTGAGGCACAATCGCTTAGTTCAAGAATGGTAAAAGTGACTCTTGCCTCTTTTCTGTAGGTGGTGATTTGAATTTATTGGACATGGCATAATCCAATACTCAGGATTGCTATTGATCCAATTTCAGGATATAAAAAAAAAAAGCAATTATGGCCCATCCAATCCGACACTGAAGCCTAAATGTTCAACTTTGCATGACATGCTGTTAACGGGGACATTATCGCCTGAGCAAAGGCAGCCCAAGGCATTACGGGGGAAAAGAAGGTTTTGGATTGATATTGGTATCAGAAGATACTCCAAGTTGCAGTATCTGTACTGGACATGAAAAACCTGTATTGAATTATCCCTTGACCTGATCCCTTCCTTGAAAAGCACCAGCTTAAAAGTGATAAAGAAGGACAGATGTTTTTGCTGCCACCTGTTGTTGCATGTGAGGACTTTTTTCTTAAACTAAATTGAGTGTGATTTTCAACTAATCTTGTAACACCCTCCATCTTCAGAGAATGTTCCATCTTTTATTTAAACTCAAACGTGTTAATTTAAAAAAATGTCTTTTTGATGATGTAATGTATCAACAGTTCTATCTAATTCTAAGTTAGGTACAAATTATGACTGATGAAAATGTCAGATAATATAAAAAAAATATGAAATATATTTTAAAAACTGTCCAGTCGACTCGCCACCCGCAGGAAGGTTCACAGGGGGCTAGTACGGTGCAGTGTGATTTGGGTGGCAGTCATGGAGACTGCTGCCCCAGCAACCCAGTAACGGATAAGTGGATGAAAATGGATGTAAAAAAAACTGTACATTTAAAATTTTGGAAACCCTAAACTGTCTTTAAATTCTATATACTGTATATAAGAATATGTACTGTGACACCAACTTTACAGTAATTAGCAGTTAATATGGAAAAGCATTGTATTGTGGATGGAAGAAACGGCACGTTCTGGTGGCAAGCATGAAAGGAGACCACGGGCCACTTTATCCGTGTTGATGCGTTGTTTTTAGCTGCAAATCAGGATCTGAAAACAAAAACTGTGATTGAAACTGGCATATCAGGACTGTCACTGATGAAGCTTACAAGCTGATGTCTGTGTTTTTTCCACCTGAACTGTTTTAAAACGTTACCTGTGTGTTCGTTATTTTCACACTGACGGCCGCTAGAGGGCACTGGTGTGACTTATACCCTGGAGCGACTTACAGTATGTTTTTTTTTTCTTCTTCATTGTGCATTTTTTGGCTAGTGCAAGTTATACTCCGAAGTGACTTATAGTGTGAAAAATAAGGTATATACTGTATATCTATATAGATCTAAATATATATCTAGATATAGCTATATAGTATATTACATTTGGGCTGCCTGTTTGGTGTAAATTTTTTATCTCAGTGACTACACGACCTCTACCTTCATTGATCTGGGTGGACTTGAAGTCGTGCAACACCTAAATTATATATATTTATTAATTTTTTTTAGTAATTATTTTCTGCATTCGCATTTCTTTTCATACCAAAAGTGTACCGAACTGTGATGTCAGTACCGAGGTGCGTACCTAACCATGGCCTTCCTCTTCTGTTACACCCCTAATGTACAGTATATGTACATATATGTGTACAATACATAAAATTTGATAATTTCTTAAAGTAAGGTAACAATCATCCTAAAGTATATTTGAAAATAAAAAAATAAAACTTTTAATATTTCCTGTACCAAAAGATCCATGGACGCTTCTGATTCCTGACCCAGTGGTTAGGAGCTTCTGCTATAAAGGACTGAATCTGTCCAGTGATGCATTTATGATGTACCGACGATTCTTGAACCATACAGACATAGAAGACAGAACATCCTTAATTACTTATGACAGTTGAAAGCATGTTCCTGAAAGCACAGTGAAAAGTGAGTGAGGAGTAGACTTAGAAGTTTCTATTTATTGAGGAAAGGTTGTTTAAATTTGAAGAGATGTGATGTTGAAACGCTGGTGACAAAACATCTGTGAAGATTCTCATTCATCCAGGTTATGTTATCCATGTGCTAACAACTAACGTAATTTCCGAACTAAATTTAAAAAGAAAAAAAAAACTGTACATATAAGCAAAAAAAAAAAAAAAATTGTACATATAAGTTGCACGTCGCAGGTGTCCACGTTGTAACATGGGATATTTACACAGAAAATGTTACACAGTAATATATTTTTTTTCACTTTTAATTAAATAAATGCTTTTTTCTGAACAGTGCCTCTAACACGGCTGGTTACATGTTGGATCAAGAGCCTGCTTCGGCGCCCTGACCGTAGTTGGAATGCACAGGGGAGACTCAGTAATCTGCTCCAGGGCTGAACATTGGCTAACTCCCTTTACTTTGTGCTTGTTCGCAGCAGAGGTAAACAGAAACAGGGAAGTTGGGGTCTTTATTATCAGCCACAACAGAACATAAACTGTGTTTTAACAGATCCTGTATAACCAACTCTTCAACATGACAGGGCTCGCAACTTTTGCTATTGTTCACTCTTGCACGCCCCACGCACATATATGCACACAGCCATTCACAGACAGACATACGCTACTAGTATTCAATATGTTTCAATATGTATATTTGGTTTCAATATGTATATTTTTTGTTCATTATGTATATTTTCTAAAGCTTACTTTAATTTTAGAGTGCTTTTTGCTTTTTAGTTCTTTTACTCTTTTTATTTTGTTAACTCCTTTTCTCTCTTTTTCTGCACTGCCACTTGCTACTGCACAAGTATGTTTCCCCCAAGGGGGATGAATAAAGCCCTACTCTACTCTACTCTACTCTAGTATAACACTAGTAGCGGCTTATAGTCCAGAAATTACGTAAAACCTTTGGATAGAGACAAAACAATAGATTTAAACTACTTTTTTTTTGTTTGTTTATTTTTGTTTTTGTTTTTAGAAAAACATAGATTTACAGTTGTAGAGGTATTTGTTAGGATTTATGTATACACAATACAAACATAGACAGCATCATGAGTATAAAAACCAGAACCATTTCCCTAGCAATGAATAAGCCAAATACTAAAACTATCTCACGGTGATAAAATATATATATTGGGTGAGATTCTCACCCAATATTTTTATTAATAGTCATTCAACATTCACACCAGAATTTTCACCCTGTGGAAAAAAAAATCATCTTTGAGCCAAGGTGTTAGGGGGTGAAACAATGTGATCGGTTTTATCCGTCAGAATATATATATATATATTTGTATGTATATATATATATATGTATATATATATATATATGTATGTATATATATATATATGTATGTATATATATATATATGTATGTATATATATATATGTATATATATATATGTTTTAATATATTCACATCACGATAAAACCATAATCTTCAATCAGCAGCTCCTGTTCTGCAGCTAATTAGTTCTACCGAATAGAGAGGAGGAGGGACAGAGGCAGGGAGTTGGCAATGAAGACTGAGTGGGTGTGGGTGGAGAGGAAAAGGGGGTGGGGGGGGGGGGTCATGAATGAAACCTCCAGTCTGGTGACGTCAATTGGGGCAGTTTGACGCAAATGTCACGTGGGCAAAGGAAGGTGGGGGGGGGCGAGGGGTATAAATAAGGTGGAGTCGCTCTCCGTGGTTCTGAAAAAAGGCAGAGAGTCATACACGGAATCCCCACAGTGAGGAGCTCCCCTCGGCAACTAAACACCGAGGAGATTTCACAAGAAACTAGAGCTGTGAACCGGGACCTGGCAGAAACCCAAGAAGAAGACGAAGAAGGAACGGGGAACCCCGCGCGGGAGAACAAGTGAGTGATAACTTCTCATCACTTCACATCCTTCCCATAGAAAAACAAATGTGAACCTGGAGAAACACAAATCAAGTACAGTTCCATCTCTAACGGATGTGACCAGTGCGTTAATTTAGTTTCTGATATTTAGTGATCCCCATTAGCACAGTGCAAATAAACATCACACATGATGTGAAACGTAGAAAAGAGGAACTAAAAAGGCGATGAGGGTTACTTGTTGGTGCTGGTATTTTTTTCGAATCTGCGGAATTCATGACACGTGCCTTTTTTTTTCTTCTTTTTTACACGTATCTCTTGTGTTAAGCAAATTAACGCGAACAGAGTTTTGATTAACGCAAACCTATTGTTACATCTACTCGCCTTGTCCCTTTGTTTAAAGACAGGTATTGGTGTAAAAAATGTTTCTTCGAAATGTTTTATAACACGATTTATTTATTATATATGAGGGATTTTAATACATTTTCATTTCATTTTATTTGAAGGTAAATGAGTGAGTAAATATTTTTATTTGATCAAAAATTTATTTGATCAAAAATCAAAATAGACACATTTGCAGTTCGTGTGTTTACATTTGCAGTCTATAATCTGTGCATAATTATAGCGAATCATAGTGTGGATGACACTGTATTTTCATATACGTCAATATCTACGGGGAAGTTAACAATTACAGGCTGTACTGTTTAATTATTGTAACTCAGTAATTAACTGTGCAGCCCTGGCACATATTCCATCGCTGTCTTCATCACCATCGTGTTGTTCTTCTTCATCATCGTCGTCATTATTATTGCAATTACCTTGACTCACTGCCAAAAATGCGGAGAAGGAAAAAAGAAAAAGACTGCCTCGGGAAGCAGCGTGGGAAGCAGCAATAACGCTCATCCCTGAGCACAATCAATATGTTTTACTGGCATATATACATACATATATACATATATATACATATATATGTATATCTGTATATATATATACATATATATGTATATGTATATATATGTATATATATACATATATATACATATATATATAAATATATATATATATGTATATATATTACTAGCCAGTAATATGATATCTCATTGATATATTCATGTTTTGATAAAAGAAAAATAAACATACTTTAGAATAAATGATTGAAGTTACAATACAATACTAGTATGTCACATTTATTGACAGCAATATATCAATATATTTCATTTAAAAAATGAAATATGTAATTTAATTTGCAGTAAAATTTGATCATTTGTGATGGATTTGAGGTCATTGGTTTGCAATGCAGGGATGTGTGTGTGTGTGTGTGCGCGCGTATATTATCCAATATGTGTGTGTGTGTGTGTGCACGCGTGCGTATATTATCCAATGCTAAGTGTTCACGAGGAGAGATGGTGACGCCAAAGCAACCAGAACCTTGTCACCATGTCTTTGAAATGTGGATGTATGTCACGTGCCGACGTGTGGGTGGAGGTAGTCAGCCGCCCAAAAACATGTTTTTGTTGCCAGCTCCTCCTCCTAGATTTAGATTAATAGCGTGGTAATAAGTAATGAGCTGCAATTAATATTTGAACTCGGATTTCTTGAGTTGTTTGTCATTCTTTCCATAAAGTCGAGAAAGAAAGTAAGATATTTAAATACTGTATTTGCTGACACTTGCAAAGATAAATCTGCCCAGGGTTTACTTTATGTTTTTTGCGCATGTATGTATTGCCTGCTTGTGAGGACATATTGTTCGTTTGCAGTTCTGATTAGTATTACTGTGGTATTAAAGTTAGGTTAAGGGTTACCTACATGTCATTCATGTGATCATGTTGGGTATACGGACTGTAGCTCAGCACCTCAGTGTGTCATTTTATCTGACGTGTCAGACGCTGTGCAGTCCAGACTGTCTCCACTGCAGATGAAACCACTGCTGCCTGAGCCATAGGCAGGGAGCATTCGGGACACACTGTTATTTCAACAACTGTCCCAATCTAAATTATGGTCTGAAGACACTGGGTCCTTTTTTTTTTTACCATTTTGTACCATTAAGGCTAAGGTTATGTATATGTGTTCTTCTCTCCTACAGATACACCAAATACCCTCTGTTTTTCACAACAAGTCAGTCTTTGAGTGGCAATGACGAGCTACAACCTCACCTCAAGTGTCCTTACTCTTCTCGTCTTCATAACATTTTCCCGATTCCATTTGGCTGCTCAGAACCCTGATGGTCAAGATGATGACAGAAACCCATACAGAAATATTTTTCCTGATATGACAGTAACTAAAGATCAGGAAAAAAGTGGCGTGAAGAACCTACAGGAAGACGAGGCAGATGAAGAACTCTTTAAAGATGTGGATCCTAAAACTCTGGCTGCGGTTTTACTGGAGGCTTTGAATCATTCGCTGAAAAATGTGGAGAGTGAGCAGAAAGGTGACGCTGGAGAAGAAGAAAACCAACAAGTGGGAATGATGGAAGGAGCGGACCAAGACAGAGGTGGACGACAAAAGTTAGAGCTGCTCATGGCCACGCAAGAGAGAGAACAAGAAGAAGAGGAGAGAAAGAAAGCTCAAGAGGAAGAGGAGAAGATGACTGAGAAGGTGACAAGTCTTACGAAGAGTCACACAATTCAGGTCCCTGCAGAGCCAAAGTCCGCCAATCCAGAAGGAGTTCTGGAAAATGTAAAGCAAGGAGGCAGTAGCTCTGAGAATGGCGAAGAAGAAGAGCAGCTGAATTCAGAGGAGCTGAAGAGCCTGGAGACCATGATGAAGGAGTTTCCTCGCGTGGATACTGTGGGGAAGAGGAAGGTGGACTCAGATCAGAATTTGGGAGACAGCAGAGGTTACAACATCAACAACTATTTCATAACAATCAGTAAAGGAGGCAACCTGGCTATGTCAAAAAAGAAACTGAAGTGGCAAGAGGAGACACAGAAGGCACTGAACCTGCCATCATTCAGGGAAGGGAACTTTATGGACGATTTTGTGGATGGAAATTATGAGAGAAATTCTATACAGTCCCTGGTGCCTCCAGCAGAGCCGGAGGTCATGGAGGAGGATTCTCCTGATGTTCCTCAAGATGAGGATGAGAAAGAGGAGGAAGAGGCTCGAGCCAAAGCAGAGCAGGAGGAGATGAGAAGGCAGGCAGCCGAAGCACTACGAGCCAAGATAGAGGAAGAGAAACTGGCAGACATTGCTTCTGACATGCTACTGCACTACATGGTCAAGCAGAGAAATGGGAACAAGAAGTACAATCCTTCTCTGTCCAATGCTGCAGAGGACAAAAGGTCTGATGAGGAGCAGGAGGTAAATCAGGAGGACGACATCGATCCCCAGACTATCGACAAGCTGATCGAAATATCCAGCAAGCTCCATCTCCCCGCTGATGATGTGGTGGACATCATCAGTGACGTGGAGAAGAAGAAAAAGAAGGACATGACTCCACTCTCATCTTCTTTCTTGTCCAAGAATAGCTTCATGCCATCAAAGGTGTCTGCTGATAAGACAAGGCTACCGGCTCCTGCTGTCAATCTCCTCAAAACCTGGTTTCAGGGCAAGACACATACAAAGACAAAGGATCACTGGAGCAAACCTGTCAGTTCTTTGCTGTCCAATCAAAACATGTGGCCTAAAGCTCTAAAGCCTCTCTCATTTAAACAGGACATTTGGCATAAAACCCCTAAGTCTGTTTGGACTGGCTACCCATCGTACCCCATAAATTACCCGTTCTACTACAAGAGGAAGCTCTACCCAGACTACTACACCATTTACAAGCCATCACCTCTTCGACCCAAACCGCGCTACTACATTCCAAAACCTTTTGCCCTCAACAGATTTCTGGATGGTTCTGCTATCAATGGCAACAAGTTCGAAAACAGATACCGCTATGAGGGTTGGGTCCAACCTCAGATAAGAATGCCTCCTTCTTCAGCACAGTCTCAACCTCAACCTTATTACAAGAGCTATCCCCTACCACTCTACCCACGTACACTATTTCAGCCCCTTGCACTTCCTGAATCACGGTCACTGCCTAGATTCCCTGTGATGGGTCCTCTTCCTAAGGAGAGATATTACTCAACCCCCGTACCTGCAGCCATGCGAGACAACAAGTATGGGACTGGAAAACAATCAGATAGCAGTAGCAGCAGCAGTCGTGCTGATATTGAGAAATACATAAGACAGATCCTCATGAACAGAGCTCACCAGTTGGACTGATGCACAAAAAGGAAGAGATGGAAAGAAATTTAGCATAAGGATGAAAAATCCAAATGGACAGTTTCATTTAGTTAACAATTTATTTTCCTTTATGCAAGTTTCTCATTATGTTTTGATGAGATTGTATATGAACAAGGACATCATAGAGGATGTTTGTCTCCTCCCAGAGGTATTCTGGTTGAAAAGGGAATATAAGATGGAAAATACAGAGAGGTAGTCCATCAGCATTTGCTCTGAGAAAGAGGTGTTTGAAAACCAGGGACGGTCCTTAAGAGAAGCATGACAGGGAAGAGATTTGTATCATGCCGAAACCTGTCATCCAAATTCACAACGTGAGAACATTCTGAATTATGGACATTGTTTAATGCCAACAGGAGAATGTGTGAACGTTGTGAGTTGTATTTTTCAATATACGTCGTTCTCAGACACAGAGAAATTGTGGACACTCATAAGCATGAATCAGGAATTTAAAATTGAATTTAAGTTATGGTAAATAACCTTTATTGTCTGAACACAACATAATACAAAAAAGCAAAAACTACCAAAATGTTTTAATCTGCCTCTAAAGATTTGCCATTTGGTCTAGCCCAGTGGTTCCCAAACGTTCTCTGCTGCGCCTCTCCTTGGTTTATAAGAAAATGTTTGCACCCATTTACAAAATTTACCATTATTATCTTACTATTCTTTTTGGCCTATTGTTGTGTACAGTTTTATTGAGTATACTGATAGGCTGATAGGCCATGTCATACCAAAGTCCAAACCAGGCGTGGGCAAAGTTTTTGAGTTGCAGGCCACAATTGTCCTAAAATTGAACGGGGGGCCGGATCAGGAGCATATAGATCAGATGAACTAAGATAAATGTAAATGTCATGCATAAAGGCTAAAATGCTGAAATGCTTTTGTAATGTTCTACACCATCTATTGGGGAAACGTTGGTATTGCAGGGAAAAGGTGGAAGTATAATATTAATAATTATAAACCACAGTTTGGTGGGCCGGAATAAAAAGCTGAATGGGCCGCATTTGGCGCCCGGGCCTTAGTCCGTCCATGCCTCGTCCAAACTCCTTATTTAATTTAAGTTCACACACAGGTTCAGTGGCAGCCTCACTAACATCACTGCAATGCTCTTGATGACTCACCCTTTTGCATACTTCAATTACCTAGTTGCCATGGTGCCAAACCCCAGTCAAACTTCATACATTTCACACCTACAGAGTGGGCTGCAGTGGTAGAAACATGTTGGTCTTTATGCAAAACGCCTCATAGTCCTGCATTTACAAAAGATGAAACTAACAAGGTGTTGGTCAAAAATAAGTGTAATGTTTTGGTCCATCAATTAAATGTTCTTGATGTAACAGTTTAGAAGATGAAGTACTAAGACAGAGTCAGGGTTTTGAATCAAACAGCAGATTAACAAGTACATTAGGAAAAAGTGAAAGATTAATCTAGAAACACTGAGGTCAGCTCTAGTTTACACAAAATACACCTGACTTTTTATCCATTAATGTGACATTTTCATTAAAAAAAAATAAAAAGCACACAGAGGTGATAGAAATTATCCTGGATTTCTTTTTATGAGTCATTACCGATTTAAGCTAGATTCTTTTTTTCCCTACGTTCTGCTGTCCCGGAGTACCGATTCTTTCGCTTGGCTTAGAATTCATGCAGGCACGGCGGGACTTTATTTTCATGGGCACACCATCCGGCCAATCATTTGTGAGGACAGACTAGGATCATACCTTTATGTGAAAGAAGAAAGGGTAGACTATTTTAAATACAAGGACTTTGAGAAAAACAAAAAGGAAATAGCATTCAGGTACAATTTTAACAACATTTGAGGGCAAATAATCACAGGAAGTAGAATCTGAGGCATCAGGTTTTCTGAATGCCAACCTGTACTAAAAACTAATTGGCATAATGTTGACGTTATTTATGTGATTGGGTTTGAGTATTTTTTTTAAACAAAAATGCATAAAATTAAGGCTTTCATAATGACACTGGATGAAAAATTGCTTACCAACAAAACAAATATTCATAAGTGCTTAACTGGGCTAAAATAGAAGATGTGCATGGCATGCTGGAGGAGAAAAGACGATATTGGATTAATAAGGGTATCAGCAGAAACTCAATTATAGTAATTTTAAAAGCACCTCGGTGGACCGTTCTTTAAATGAGCTGAACTGTCCCTTTAACCACAAAGTGTCCCTGAGCTCAGTGAAACTCTGCTAATCTGACCGTAATTTGTCACATTTGATTGACTCATCAATCTTCCTTTTGCCTTCATTGCAGTGTTTTAGATTAGCACTAAAATTCTGTTCACATTTGTCGGTGGCACCTGTGACATCGGGACTGATACTGTCCATAAGGTTAAGACTAAAATGGAAGAAGTTCAAATCATGTAAAACAGTTTTTAAATGATCATTTATCTTTTAGCTGATGCTTCAATAAGACTACAAACCAACACTAACTATAAAGGTGCAAAAAGGGGGTAAATGTTTGAGTTTGAGCATAAATTTAAAAAATATGTAAAAAAAAAAAAAAAAAATAAAGCAAAAACCATGACACTGGTGTAACTTAAAGTCAATGTTGAAGTCATGTATACAACTAATACTGTCTATGGTCTTTCTAGATGTACCCTGTTGTAACCATCGTAATAAACATGCATTTGCTGGATGTTAGTATTTGCATTTCAATGACTTCCTTTTGCTACACCTGAATAAAGACAAATATTTTAATAATAACAAAGGCTTGATTGTGGAAACAGATCTTACAACATTGCAGATAAATTGCTAGTATTCAAGTTAAGGATAGCTCGTCCAATGCTCAGGATCTGTATTGGTCCAATATTGGTCAAAATTTCAGGATTAAACATGAAAAAATAAAAAACAACTATAGCCCATTCGATCTGATACCTAACCCCATATGCTCAATTTAACTTTAAACTTTAAACTGGAACACTGGTGCCTCGGCAATGGCAGCCCACGGCATGCTGGAGGAGAAAGAAGGTATCAGATTGATATGGGAATCAGCAGATAATGGTATCAAGCCATCCCTAGTTCAAGTTTCTCAAGTGTACATGTCATTTACTACTGTTTAAACACTAAGAAATGGCAGCCTCATTGTGGAAACACAATGTTGACAATCATTGCCAAGTTGGAGACATAGAAACACAAATGCAAACGAAACATGATTAGGATACATTGTCCCCTGCTAGCTAGAATATATGAAAATTGACTAACTGATTAACATGAATTTAATTTTCATCTAAAAAAGGGCATAGTGATTTAAATGAACACTGATATGTTGCTGCAAGGATAAAAGTTTTAAAATGTTTTATGTTTGTTTAGGACGGTGATGTAGGACGGTGTGTTGTGGCGCATTACTGTACAGTAAGAGATTATCAGGTATGCTCAAAAAATGGTCTAAAAACCATTATTTATTTAAAAATAATTTGTGTTTGTTTGTCTTTGCATCAGTGGCAGACAGGAAGGAAGGAAGGAAGGAAATGAAAGGAAAGGAAAGTGAACTCCTTGTCATTGTGACACTGTGACACACACTGCTGCACACAACAAAATGTGACCTCTGCATTTAACCCATCACCAAAGTGAACAGTGGAGCTTTAAGGAGCAGTGTGTGGGGACGGTGCCATGCACTTTCCCATTATGTTACATATGGTTTTGCCCATCATTTGTTTATTGCCCACTTGTGTTTTCTCATTCAACCATGCTCTTCATGTTTCCTGTGTTGTTTGGAGTTAATATTTGATTCTGGTGTATTTATTCTCTGTGTTTTTTTGGTTTTGTAATCAGTTCTCATGCTTGGATCTTTGATTAAAAACTGAACTGTTATATTACTTTATTTTTACACAATGTAATGTAAATAGTTTAATTGCTACCATTAAGGGGCAAAGATGTATAGTTGACGTGATAACATGGAGACACTGCATCAGATATAAATGGATCAGTTCAATTTTACAGCACAAAAGCCTGCATGTTGTAAGTGATCCTAATTATAAGTTATATTACAGTGGGGCTTCCTCATTATTTAGCTACCCGAGTTTTCCATGTTATGAGTAAACAACTTTTGCAAGATTTTCCTTGTAATACGAGGAAACCTTGAGTTAAGATTGCTCAACCAAGCTTTTACGTTTTCATTACTTACTCAAATTTTACACAATGTACATTTTCTTTTGTGCATTTTGTGCTCTCATTGGTCAGTTTGTACCCTTTGCACCCTTACTACCCCATTGTACCCTTACACTAAGGCACCTAAACCACCTTGATAATCACAACCCTTTATTGGGTATAAATTGCTGCTTTTGTCTTTTTGTCTTTGTAGAGAAAGTTTTTGTTCTTTGTTCTAATTTGCTACCATTCTGAATAGTCTTTTGTTCTTTGTTCTAATTTGCTACCACTCTACTACCACAGTCAGAAGCGTGTATTTATAGCGATTTCATGTCTATAGCAATGTGCTACCACTCTAAATAGAGTCAGAAGCACGTTTTTTTTTTAGATTTGATCTGTATAATAATGTTCTACCACCCTGAACACAAATGTGGATATGGCTATAAAATTACGCTACGGGTAGGAAAAAACTATAGGTAGGAAAAAACTTCAGAACACTGGTAGTGCCGCTTTGGTCCAGAGGCAATGTCTCTGTCATTGGTGTGGGTTCACCTCCTGGGCAAGATCGAATCCCGGTTAGGGCAGTTTGCGCCTTCTAGTTGACTCACCACCTGCAGGGAGGTTACGGATAAGCAGATGAATGAATGGATGGGCATTCTTGCTGGTACTTCTTCCCTGGAGCCAAATGTTGCTGAATGCTGTAATTCTCTGGATGTCCTTTGTTTCTGAAGACCTGCAGATCTATTTTTAGTGAATGATTTTCAATAAACAACGCTTTTTGCCAAGTGGCTTCTTCGATTCTTCTTGCCTCTGCTAGAACTTTTTGAACAAGGAGGCTACACAGAAAAGCTGCAAGAGCAGTGAAAGCTTTCAGATGTTTATCTTTTATAATTCTTTTGTCATGTTTTGTGATTTTCTTTGAACTTGAGCCATAAGACATACTAAGTGAAAAAAAATCAAAATAAATTAAGAGTGTAATTCATGTTTCCAAAAATGTATCTATCCTTCTCTGTGAGGACAGGGAGTGCTGGTGGGTGGGTCTTTGGCCCTGTTTACAAAGCGTTGATATGACTATGGATCCTGGAGCCGTGGTACCAATTCGGCCTTGCCTTTAAACCAGTACTTCTCAAACAGTGGGCTGGGCCCCCCTGGGGTGCCGTGATGAGGTGCCAGGGGGATGTGAGGGGTTTCCAGTGGAATATGGCACACTGGACATAAGTGTACCACTGCTGTAATTCTTGAATGATAACAAGCCTCCAGTCACTAGGTGGCAGCAACTCATACAGTGGTTTGTACAGATTAAAATATAGTGTAAACCATCATCCTTATGATGTTGCTGTGTTGTCAATAAATCATTACGCCACAGTGTGCTACAGTTAGCCATCTCCGCCTTTTTGTGTTTCCTTTTCAAGTTTGTTTACAGTTTGCAGTCTTTATGCGCATGTTTTGTGTGGTTTTCTGAACTTCTGCTATACATTTTTCTATACAGGCCTGGCATATGTACTACAGGGACCGGAGTTTATACTCTTTGGCTCTGTTTAAATGCTGAATTTGTTTGTGCCGGATCCAATGCTCCATATTGGGAGGCAATAGTAGTCGTATTGTTTTGTATCACAGTCGTAAAAACGGGGCTTTAGTTTATTCAGAAGAAGTTACTGGTTTCTCTAGCAGGATCTGGCAACACATGTTGAATACCCCAATAAAAGACTCTCCAAATATTTTAAGTCCCAATTTGTTTGTTTGTTTTTTTACATTGAGGATGCAAGGACTCATTCATGTATCTACAGTAAATGCAGTAAATCTTTTGGCATCTGCTGGGTTGTTAGAAGAATAGTTCGTTAGTTAATGCTTTAATTTACTGTTTTTGTGTGTGTGAGTGTGTGTAGGAAACATTCTGTGATGACCATTTGTGTTTAACACTGCCTGTGTATCGGACAACAGATATAAAGAAACAGGATGACAGGGTGGGCAAGTGAAAAACAGTATGAAGATAGGGCAGGATATTAAAGTGAGTACAGCACTGTGCTAAAATAGAAGTAAATTAAATTATGTTTTAAAAATAAAAAAGGGGGAAGAAAGGTGAAAAGCTGAAGAGGAAGTAAACAAGTGGCTGGAAAAGGGGGGGTGAGGGAGATGAAGACTCGAGATGGTGGTGGTTGCAGCTCTGCAGGCGGTGAAAAAAAAGTGAGGGGCAGTGATTCATGATGTCACGTGGTGAAAACTGGGTGACTCATCCACCAACATCATCATGCAGCCTCTGCAGAGCTCCATCACATCACACACAGTACCACACACACACCGTCTGACTGTACAATCCACTCAGTATTTGTCTCACTCCACCAGTAATCCAGCAAGTAAATCAAACATCTTGGTACAAATTAAAACCAACATTATTAAATCTTGTGTGTACATTCAAAACCAGACCATCGTTGCACTTGCTCACCACCTTGACCTACACATTTTCGCAATTATTTTTGATGCATTTTGTGCATATTATATATATATATATACAGTGGAGGCGTGGGTTCGAATCCCACTTCTGACAAACTTTTGGGGCAGTGGTGGCCTAGTGGTGAAGGAGGTGGACTTCGGTCCGAAAGGCCCCAGGTTCGAATCCACCAACTAAAGGAAGCGGACTTCGGTCCGGAAGGCCCCAGGTTTGAATCCACCAACTGCCAGGTTTCCACTGAGATGCACTGAGCATGGCATCGTCCTCAAGCACTGCTCCCCGGGCGCCGACCACGGCTGCCCACTGTTCACTTTGGTGATGGGTTAAATGCAGAGGGTAAATTTCGTTGTGCATGGTGTGCTGTGCTGTGCTGTGTCACAATGACTAATAAAGTTAAGTTTGAGTTTGTTTTTACGTGTATAACAACACATAAATGAATATTAGGTCTGGGCAACGGTTAAATTTTTTTTTTTTTTGTGATTACATGCATCACTTCTTGCGATTACTCACGATTAATCACACGGTTGTCGAAAATCCAATGATCAATTTTAAATGGGCTGCCTTATGAAAATGCCATTACATTTGTTTTGCAAACAATATCAAATCTAATCTAATCAAAGCAAATACAACTAAATACTCTTATTGCCTTGTTAGCACTCTGCAGTTCTAACAGCTAATGCTGGTGCGGGTATTTACACCAGTCATGCTAGAGTTAGCACTCCCGATGCTAATAGCTAATGTTTACACTGGCATCAGCTGTTAGCGCCACATAGAGCTAAATACTGTGCTATCCTATTTCTGAAATAAACAGCTAATGCTATTTCTGGCTTAAAACAGTTAAAAAGTAAGTGACATCGCATTAATGTTTTCCAGCCGGTGAGTAACAGAAAATAGAAATTACATTGCATTTAGCAGATGCTTTTATCTAAAGCGACTTACAATTTGAGTCAGTCAATCAACCATAAACATACAAAAATAGATAAATAATAACAAATAATGAATAGATAAACATACAAAAATAGATAAATAATAAATAATAACAAATAATGAATAGTAAAAGTACAGTTGTGGTCATAGTTGGTCATGTAGTAAGAAGAATA